CAAGTTACTTCACCTCTCTGAGCCTTGGCTTTCCTGACATAGAATGGAGAGGATAGAGTGTTCCTGCCTCCCAGGTTCTGGGGATAACTTGGTGACGTTAAACATGGGAAGGTCTGGCATCTGTCTGCCTGTAATTGGTACCTAGCAAACAAGCCGTTGACATCACTGTAACCACCATTTCTCACCCCCTTTTCTCCCTGGCCGATGTCTGGTCAGCGGATCTTTCCTTCCATAGACTTCAAATGCTTAAATCTAATGGTGGATGCCAAATGCCACGGGGGCACGTCTTCTTTCATTAAGTGAGTGTTTACTCATCACCTAGTCAGTGCCAAGAGACATCCAGAAATGCAAGAAGAAAGTTTTCACACTAATGGAGTTCACATCTCGGGAGACACACACATGGGTATGCATGCACACCCACAAAAACATGCACATACCCACATGCACACATAGATGCATACATATGCACATATGGCATATCCCATGCACATGCACATACATACAATGTACAAGCATGTATTCAGGCACACAAGCACACATCCACACATATGCACACAGCATTCATGCACACCTGTGTATTTGTGCACACACATGTACACAAACACTTATGCACATAGATGACACATGCCTCAGAATTCTAAAGTGGTCACAAATATAGTCACATCTAGAGACATGATCAAGAAGGTTGAGGAGAAGCTGAGCCTGGTCTTTGTAGCCTGGGAGGCAGCCTGGGAGAGGAAGCGCTTGAACCCAGTCCTAAGGAAGTTCAGCCGTTAGCCACTGCTTTGTGCAGTATGGGGGATAGGCAAATCCTTGTCTGACCCCCAAACCAAACATCTGATCTGTAGCATTTGCTAGCTCCCATGGTATACCTGTTACCACAGGATCTGTGTCAAGCTATTGGAGTAACGTCACTGCCGACCTGGGAGATGTGTACTGTTGGCTCTTGGGGACCAGAATGAGTAGGCTGCCCAACACTGTGAGTTTAGGGAGCTCAAGTAAAGGGCTAGAGGAAGAAAGATTTAAGTGTTGCTTGGGATCAGATTCTAGGCAGCCAAGGTTGAATGCAGGCTTGCTCTAACTGCTGACTGAGGACCCCCAGGAGCCTTCCAGCTTCCTCCAGTCACTCACTGGATGGTCAGCACTCAGGAGGAGCTTCTCTATACTCAGCTTGTGCCGGATACCATGTGAGTTTGAAGGATGCAGGAAAATGCCTTGGTGACATACCCACAATGCTTCGTCAAACCGGCAAGATCATTCCCACCCTTTTATTGCTGCAGTCCCTATACCCAGGGAGTTTTGGGACCCCCCAAGCCCAGTGTTTTGGCTTTAGAAGATTGGAGATCAGTGGCCATGCTGCGTTCAGAAGACTTTGTGGCCATAGTAACAACTGGGTGCCCACCTTGGGCCTCACCAGAGACTCCCTCCTACTATAGCCTTTCACCTTGGGACACATGAAGGACACTCCCTGGGAGTGCTCCTGCCTTTGTCTCTCCACTGCCTGCTCAGTCCCCACAGTTAGCTGCAGCCCACTCCATTGGCAAGGCCTGCTCCTTTCAATTAGAGACAAGGCTGTGAGGTCTTGCTCAGATAACTGGCCACCTTTGAGATGAGAGGCCTGGAAGGGATGGGGCAGGGCCAGGAATAGTTCACCATCCCTCCCTCCTCTGTGTTCTGAGGAATACCCTCCTTTCCAGGCATCTCCCGACTCTGAATGTTGACAGATGGAAGGCTATAAATTGAAGGGAAATAGTAAATTCACAAACACGATAAACATGTTGCTTTGCAAAGGACGGATATGATTATTCCCCAGTTTAATGCTCTCCCTACCCACAGGCTTTGTTTTTCTGAGAGAAGGTGGGTGGGGTAGGTTTCCATGTCAGCGTGATCAGCTTTCTGCCCTTGGCCCCATCTCTCATACATCCCTCTGAGCCATGTGAAAAGCAACCAGAATGGGAGACCCTCTCTCTGGAAGAGAATGCATCTTGACAGATGTGTTCTTTTGAGCTGGTTATTTATAGCTGCACAGGCTTTCGTGCAGTGGGCGCTTTGTGCCTCTTCCTTCTCCTTTCTCCAAAAGTGAACATATTTTCATTTCCCTAGTGGTAAAAAATGCCAAGTCAATGAATCTCTCTTACTCTCTGTCTCTCCCATCCTCTTCTGCCTCTTCCACCTTCCAAATGGGCTGCCATGTTTTCTAGCATCAATTCAAGAGTTGTCACCAACTTTTGTATCCCAAGTTCTTTGAGGCCCTCCTCCCTCCCCATCCTTCCCTACTCAGGGGCAATTCCTGGCTCCCAGGGTTCTTTCTCCTGGCCAACTCCAAAGGGAGAACTGAAGGAGTTTTCTGCATCCTTCTCTAGACCCCTCCCCAACACCTTCCTGCTCCTCTCACTGTGTTCTCTCATTCAGTCATAGGTTCCCTGCCCCCATTGGGGGGTGGGCAGGTCTGGAGCTTGGGGACTCCTGTTTGCCCTTCTTGTCTTTTCTCCACATCCAAAACTTACTGTGGAGTCCTCTGGGTGCCCTCCCCAAACACCCTCCCCCTTTATTTGCCTCTCTCAGCTGTCACATCCTCTGTGTCTCATATTTTGAGTGGTCCCAAGGTGTCAGGCACTGAATGGTGCTAGACCACTGTCCCCTCCTATGAGGGACGACAGCAGACATACTGAGGCTCTAGGCCTTATGTCTTCTTCTTCTGTCCCTCTCATTTTCCCTCCCTCCCTCCCTCCCTCCTTCCTCCCTCATTCTCCCTCTGCCCTCTTACTGTAGTAAGCAAACCAAAGGACAGGGCAGAGCAGCACGTGTCTTCAGATTCTGTTGCTAAGGAAACCACTTCCTTGGTTACCAGCCTAGGTACATTTGTTTCACTGTGCCTACAGAGTCGCCCCCACTCTCCAGGATGAGGAGAATGGGGATGGGAGGGAGGAAGGGAAGGGGGAGAGACTGAGAGCTGGAGATCAAGGGGTAGAGATGGAGAAACACTTGCCTAACTGGAACAGTAATAAAGAACGAGACCAAGAGATGACAGAGAAAGGGAGAGAGAAAGGAGGAGCAAGCAAGAGGTTTAAAGGTGAGAGAGGAGAGAGGAGAGAGGTACCCCATCCCAGCAGCTGGAGATCAGACCACAAAGAGGGACACGAAGCACAGAGTGGGAGACAAAAACAGTGAGGAGGAAGAGGAGAAATGAAAACAAGAGGGGCTAGGCCTCTGCTAGGAAGACAGTTCCAGAAAGACCTGCCCCTGGCATCCTTCTCCTCTTCTCTCCTCCCACACTGTCCCTGGAGATGCAGCTGTCTTCCAGGGATCCTGGAGAAATCTGAAATTGACTCTAGGAATCAGCCTGTTCTTGCCTGAAGCTACTGTGGGAGAACAGCAGGATGCCAAGCCTTGATGTCCCAGCTTCCAGGCCTGAATGCCCTAGCACTGGGAACCACTGGGACCCACAGCTCTTTTTCCTGTCATTTTCCACAATGAAAGAGAGGACAGCGGGCCTCAGCTTCGCAATTAATCTCTGTGGCTTGGAGCACAGTAATCTCTAGCTGGTGCGATTGCCAAGGGCCTTCTTTGCTGTCAACTCCCCAGACTCTGACTCCTGACAGACATCTGCTAAGAGGTGAGCTCTTCAGGGGGAGAATTTTACCTGGCCCTTCTTCAGTCTCTAAAATTGGGAGCAGGGTCTTGGCACATGGTACATATTCAGGAAGTATGCGTTAACGAATGAGTGAAAGAATGCCACCTTCCTTCCTTCTGATTCTGGAATATAAAGATTTCATTCCAGGGAGATGGCTCAATGGTTAAGAACACTGGCTGTTCTTACAGAGGACCCAGGTTTTGTTCCTAGCACCCACATGGTGGCTAACAACTATTTGTAACTCCAGTTCCAAGGAATCTGACATCCTCTTTTGACCTCAGTGGGTCATGACATAGGCACACTTATATACATGCAGGCAAGCACTCACACAAAATTAAAAAAAAAAAAAACAATTGGAGCAGGCAGTGACTGTGAAAGGGGTTTCCCCTTTGCATCCAAGCCTCACCTCTGGCTGGACGCACTTTTGTGCCAGTGGAGGCCCTCTGATGACTGGGACATTGAGGAGTAGGTTGTGTAGTGTGTGGATGCTGAAGACTCCCTGAGGTCCCCAGAGGAGAAACCAGGCCAACTAGACACTACATGACTTCCCTCACTCCTGGAGTTGGGGTACCAGAACCTTGATGACACAGATCTTAGAGAGGTAGCACATTGGTTCAGGACTAGGCCACCAGGACCAGTCAAGTCTTGATATGAGATCAAGTCAAGGCACAAGTGACCAAAGTTAAGACTCCTCCCAAGCCAGGACTGTGATTCAGTCTTCAGTCAGAGTCAGGTGACAGCGATTAAGGCTGGGTCATTTGTTTGAGGGCAGGCCAGAGCTTAACCTATGACTCAGGATAGAGGGTGGTCAAATGATTAGGGTCAGGGCTCAGTATGCATAGGATCAGCCTTGGGACTCAATCAATGTGGAGTTTGGATAAGGGATCAGGGTGAAACCAGGATTGATTATGGATCACTAAATGTCTATGGTCTAGGCATAGTCTGTAATCAGGATTTAGCTGCGACTCAGGTTCAAGGGTTTAGGCTTTCACTCTGTCTGTGACCAGGACAGGGTGGGCTTAAGCCAGAGTGTGGCTTGGGGCCTCATCCATCCAGCACGGTTTCCATTGCCAACGCTTCCTCCCCCAATGACCCTGTCCTCCTCACACTCAACCCTTGAGACACTCCTTCTGGATCCCCATGTTGGTGCCCCCCGGACACTGGGTGGGAGACCCTCCCTGTCTTTTCTCTCTCAGCTGCCCCTCCACCTTACCACCTATGTGGCAACACTAAAGCCTTCCCTCCCTATGCCTAGGAAAAGTCCCCAGCACCTCAGCCCTTTCCTGGACATTCTCTCTCTCCCCCACTCTCCCAACACAGAAAAGTTCTCATCTGAATGCTCCATACACAACACTACCACATGGTAGAATTATCAACAAAACTCTCCTTTAATGATTGTGTTGACCTGAGGAATCTTTAGACAGAAAGCTCGTGGCCAGAGGTGACCACCAGCAAGGAAATGGCCAGGTCCTGGACCCAGAGTCTCCCAGAAAGAGGCAACCTCCAAGCAGGAGAAGAGGCCAGGCCCTTTACTGCCTTGTGAAAGACTAGAAATTAGCCTGGGGGAGCGGGGAGAGATACGTACAAAATACATTCAGAGCCCCCGGCCGAGCCCTGGGGTGGCCCAAACCCTCCAGATGAGGGCATCAGAGAAGGGAAGCAGGTCCAGTCCTGGCCCTTCATTTTGCATGGCCAGTGTCCGAGGGGCGGAATGTGTTAGACATAGTCCTCTTAAAAAAATATATCTCTTTTCATGCGCCTTCTCCAGAGTCCCTTGGCTAGATGGGAACAAGTGCTTGTCTATACCCCAAGACTGCAGGGGGGCTGCTCCACACAGAAGAGCAAGGGGGTTGTGACTATGGCTTTTGTGTCTATGTGATGGGAACAGTACAGATGTGGGCTGGAGGGGAAGCCATGGGAATCTGAGGTGGGGTAACGAGACCTGGATACATGCTTTAAAAACATGATCAGCAACTCAGGTGGTCAGAAATCCTTTGGTTTGGTGTCTCAGCATCGAGAGAGCAGCGGTGTAATGGAAATGGAGAGCCATTTGTTACCCCATTTCAAGGGTCCCCAGTATGGGGGTGGCTGGCCCTGTTGGGCTACAAGCAAAGGGAGAGAGGCTGATGGCTCAGAGGATAGGGGGACTCTCGTGGGTGCGGCTCCCTCTGGCTCGGAGTACTCTTGTTCTATCCCCATGGATAGTAAAGGAACCCCCTTGTTAATGGGTCGGAAGGGCAGTGTAGGATGGATGTGTTGGACCCCCCACCCTGGAGAGATGGGTCACCAGGGTTCTGTATATGGCATGTGGCTGGCCTGCCGAGATAATCCTTGGTGCCTAAGGGACCGGAAGAGGATCAGGGACCAAGGACCCCAAAGTTACTCCCCCAGGCACACTATGGGGAGCAAAAGGTAGGACTTGAGCCCTGGGGGATGGAAAGGCACCCAGTTTAGATCTCAAATGTGGTGTGGCCTCCCCGGGGATAGTTCCCACAGTGCTGCCAAGTACCAGTCTTCCAACTCTGCCCAGAACATTAGAAAGTTGAGGCCACAGAGACAGGTCCTGTCTTCTACACAGAGGTGGACTGAGAGAGGTCAGAGCCAGTGCTTGCCAGTGGGGAGGGAGAGGGGGCTACATAGTCAGCTGGAGGGTCATTGCTTATAGCCAACCTTCAGCTGTCACATTGAAATCTCCCACCCCAATCACTGTGGGGGCAGTTAGTGAGTCTCCATGACACAGCCTTCCTCCCACCAGTAGCAATGATAGGAAAGCTGTTGTGTGAAGGGAACTCCTCAGAGCTGGCAGCCCACATCTCCAGGGGAGGGCATGTGCCTCTGAGGGGCCTCACTCAAGGCAGACAGGAGCTCAGGGCTGTCTCCAAGCCAAAGGGAGGCCAGCTCAGTGGGATCACGGGGGCATCTTGAGTCCTGCCCCTCTCCAGGCTACCACATCATCTCGGACCATAGTCATCTGGCACCCCAGTGAGGTTGCGGCCTCGCAGGGCTGTGTCCACCATCCTGATGTAGGCCGCGATGGTTCTGCGCATGTCGGCCGTGTATGGGTCATACTCCAGCTTGCGCAGCCCTGAGCGCTTGAAGTTGCCATCCTTCTGGCTCTCCACACACAGCAGCCGGTCCTCCCTGACAGCCACACCCAGCAAGCTGACCATACGACCCAGCTGCACGAACAGGTCCTGCTTCAGGTCCTCAAAGTGAACCACCAGCACCTTCTTGCCGAACTTGAGCCAGTCCAGTGTGTGCGTCGCCCACCAGGGGGCATAGTTTCTTACGAACTCAGGCCACTCTGTGGAAACATCGACAGGTCAGTGGACAGCCAGGATCAGCAGGTGATACACCTTCTAGATCTCTCAATCTGTCTTGGCTGTAAGCCCAGTGATACCCGTTTTCTGGGAGCAGTCAAGTCTGTATATTTGTTCCTGGTGCATGCCAGGCACAGCTCTATACACGAATAGCTCATAACACATAAATAGATGCTACCAGAGTATGAAGATACAGAAATAATATGCAGTTCAGAATTACACAATGAAGGGTTGGGGATTTAGCACAGTCAGTGCTTAGCATTTGTGAAACCCTGAGTTTGAGCTCCAGCACCACATAAAGTAGGCGTGGTGGTGCACACCTATAATCCTAGCACTTGAGAGGTCTAGAGACAGGAGGATCAGAAGTTTAAGGCCATTATTGGCTACATAGCTTGAGGCCAGCCTGGGCTGCATGAGATCCTGTCTCAAAAAAAAGAAAATTATACAATAACACACAACATATATATATATATGTATATATACATACTTATGCTATACTACTTGTAAGGTAAATATATGTATACACTATGCAAATTATAGGATTTATATATAATAATGCATTTATTGTATATAGTTTTCCAGATTTAATTTTTTAAATTATGTGCATGAGTGTTTGCATTTATGCATGTGTTCCACATGTGTGCAATGCCCACAGAGGCCAGAAGAGGGCGTCAGATTCTCTGGATCTGGAGTTACAGGTGGTTGTGAACTGCCAGATGGGTGCTGGGAACAGACCCCAGGTCACCTGCAAGAGTAGCTCTTAACTGCTGAGTCCCTATACTATGTATAATTTATGTAAACATATAGGAATATAATTCCCATTCATTTATTAACTGTAAAGGTGCTTTCTGCATTGTGATTATGCATTAATAACTACACTCATATGGATAGGTGGTATCTCCACTTAGTCCTTATGACCTTATGAGGTCAAGTTTCATCATGGTCATCATTTAACAGAACAGGAAACTGAAGTGGGTGAGTGGTTTCTCAAGGTCACTCATGTAAAAAGCAAAGCAGGGTTAGATAGGGAGATCTAGTCTGATGTGGGCCTTTTGCTACCATGGTGTTGTATGCAGTAACAACCTGTACTCAAGGAGAACGACAGGCTGTTGTAACAGTGTGGGGCAGAGCATTTGGCAGAGCACAAATGGCTTTGCCCTGTGCTAAAAAGGCTGTTAGCACTTAGCTGCTCACTAAAGCTGGCTGAGATCACTCCTGATCTCAGGCAAGATGTCATCTTTACCAGCTCCCCAGGCTCGGACAGAGGCTCCCTCTGGGCTCTGCAGCCCTGATTCTTTCCCCCCTATGACTGCAGCACTGATACTGTGGTAACCCTGTTTACATGCCCTTCTCTCCAGCAGTCTTTGAGCTATTGGAGAGCAGGGTTTAAACACAACTACCTATCCTGTTCTGTGGCTCTCTACTCTAATAAATTGCCACATACTGTTTCTTCTTGCTGCTTGTCATGTGACTGGACAGGCTGTATGGTTGCCAAACTGGCAGGGTACCTTTGGGGTCACTTGACTTGAAAGACAGGTTGCCTGAAGCTTGGGAAGCTCCTTGGGGGAGTTCTAGAAAGGATGGTGAGGAGAGGCAGCCACTCAGCTGCAGAGGCTCAGAGGAGGAAGAAGCAGGAAAACTGCAGAAGATGGGTGCTGGGGATGCTGGGATCAGGTCAGCCCTGAGCCACGCTGCAGGACCCCAGGGCAGGAACAATGGTGCTCCACTCCCCAGCATCCCCCAGAGGGGGCAACAGGAGTTACTGATTTATTGAACCAGGATCCTCGAGTCCCCCAAGTTTGGTTAGGGAGCTTAAAAATGTAAGTCCTAATCCCTTGCTGGGTGATGGGTATTCACTGTCTCATTGAGTCCTACCAGCTACCCCAAGATGAAAAGATTTTTTATGCACTCATCTCTGGGAAGGAAACAGACTCAGAGAGGTGAAGTGACTTGGTCAAGGTCACACAGCAGGGAAGCACCATCCAGATCCACATGCCCATTCAGGCCCTGATGCTTCCCAGTCACCAGCAGCCTCATCTCACTTCCTTTTATGCCTTATACTCAGCAGGAGCTTCGAGAATGGCTGCTGAACTAAACTGCAATTCCCAACCACCAAATTGCACCGTGATAAAGGGCTGCTTTTCTTTACACAACACATCAGAATCTATGGCAAGACTCTTCTCCCCCAGTCTCCTCCTGGAACCCCACAGCTGCTTGGGAAATATTTATGCTGGTGACAGATTATTTTTTCTTCTTAAAATAGAATATTTACAAGGCATCTGACTAATTGGGCCCGTGCTGTTATAATGGGTTAAGAGCAGATGAATGCCGACGATTAGGAAAAGTCTAACATGCATGGGGGCTGTTTCCCTTTGTCAGCCTCTCCCCACTTCCACGTCACCTCCCAGCATGTGTGGTGACTCAGGACAGCTGCTACTCTCCCAGGAGAAAATCAGGTGGGGATGACTCTTATCACATAGCATGCCACAGGTCTAGACTTTAGATGTGGCCACTTCTGACCAGCTTGAAGATATTTGCTAGAGTTATGGTGGGTATCAGAGGCGGAATTCAAACATATGCCTGTCCTAAGCTGAGCCCAGCTCCCGTTAGTCATCCCAACACCTCCATTAAAAGCATCCAATCCCATCAGCAGCTGCTTTTTCCCTGGGTAGCTGCCTCCTCATGTACCTGCTGTACCTGTGCCTTCTGGATGCTGGCTGAGGCACAGGGGCAATTCATCAATGACTTTCCAGTCAGACGGCTGGCACTGGAATGCAGCTCCTCTCCACTGAGCAGAAATGACCTTGGAGATGCTATTTAGTCTCCTTGAGCTCAGTTTACCTACTTATCAGTGGGCATCTCTGAGAAGTCAAGATCCTGACAGGGTACCTGGTGTAGAAGATGCTGAATCTTATGTGATTCCTGCTGGCATTGGCCCTCAGCCTCACCTGAGACCTGTTCACATGCCCATCCTGCCGACTGGAGCCTCCCTCCACATCAGATTCCCAAGTTGCTCTGAGCTGTTCCACAGCAGATGTTCGCCCACGCCACCCCAAATCCCCACTTCTCAAAGCGCCTAAATCACTTTGCTGCAAAGAAGAATGGAAATGGAAACCAAAGCTCTGAATTAGCTCACGGTTCCTGGTAACTGATCAGCGCCCACGAACCTGGTAATAAAGGCACTATGAACAGCCACAGTAAGGAGCAACAGTTCTGCCAGAACAACCACGCAGGTGTGCCTGGCTGGGCACAGGCTGGCCGTCTCCGCTCCATCTTCTAGTCAGGACAAATCAGGACCTGATTAATAGTGTTTCTGTGCCAATTCCCCACAGAATCATTAAGCACTGTACCTGTTTCATTAAACAGATCCAGGACAATTCACCTTGTATAATCATATCACACAAAATTTTGCTTTGGACCTGCTCCAGAAGGGTTGTAAAATTAACATTATAGAATTGGGGGGAGGGGCAGGTGGGAGCCTCAGCTCAGCTATGGGGGGGGGCTGGGGTATGGTGGGGTGGGAAGGCTCAGAAGCTAGGTGACCCCTGTTTCTTCTAGATGACCCTTTCATTGTCTGTCCAGGTGACATTAAAGCTCTCCCAAAGCAGTTCTCAAACTCATAAAGAGCATCAAAACCCCTGGAAAATCTGGTTAAACACAGATTCTGAAATCTTACAGGTGATGCTTGTGTGGCCTTCCCCAGCACTGAGGGTTTAGGTAGGGAACCTAGGTCCATTAGGAAGGGCCTCAGAGGCTTGTGAAAATGCAGAGAGCAGGCCTCACCCCCCAAAGTTTCTGATTGGGCAGGTCTAGAAATTTGCATGGTTAATGAGCTCCCTAGGTAGTGCTGGTTCAGGGATTCAGAGCAAGAGTCTCGAAGGAGAGGACTGGCAGGGCAGAGTGGGGAGGCTCTGTGTGCTGGGGAGCTCTTTGCTAAGGCCCTTGAAGACCTGAGTCAGTCTGAGAGAGGGTGCTGGGACTAGTCTGTCCCCCACTGAGCTAAGAGTGGTGGTCCAGCCCTCTATCTTATCCTCTTGGTCCAGTCTACCCTAGCTCTTCTCCCTTTGCTGGTCTGGGCCTGTGCTGGTTAGGATTTTTGTTTCGATGTTTTAATTACTTTTATGTGCATCTACTTTTTATGTTTTGTCTGTGTGTGTAAGTGCACTCTGTGCATGCAGTACCAGAGGAGGCCAGAAGAGGAAGTCGGATCCCCTGGAAATGGAGTAATAGATGGCTACTGGCCACTATGTGGGTCCTCTGCAAGAGCAACAAGTGTTCTTAACTGCTGAGCCATTGCTCCAGTCCCTGTGCTGGTTAGTTTTAACTGTCAATTTGACACAACCTGGATTCCCCTGGGGAGAGTGTCTCAGTTGAGGAATTATCTAAATCAGGTTAGTCTGTACCATGTTCGGGGAACTGTCGTCGTTGTTACTGGATCCAGCCTACTGTAGGCAGCACATTTCCTCCACTGGACCCTGAACTAGTTGAGCTTAGGCAAGAAAGCAAGACTCCATATGCTTTTCTCCCTTTGCTCTTGATTGTAGATATGATGCTTTAAGTTTCTGCCTCAGCTCCCACAAAGAAAGGACTCTAACCTGGAACTGTAAGCCAATGTCTTCCTTTTTTCCCTAAGTTGCTTTTGTTCAGGGTATTTTATCACAGACACAGAAATGAAACTAGAGCTGGGTCCAACTGCTTTAAACAAGAAGAAAAAAGGCAGGAGAGGTAGTTGCTGGGAATGAGAGAGAACGGGGAACTCATCAGAAGAGGGGTGTATTTTGGGTAAGTGGAGCCTGAGGGTTAATCGATGCCTGGGTTGGAATCCCAGCATGGTGCTGCCTGGGTTGGAAGTGCTGCACACTTCCTGCTACCCCGACAGCTTTCTCACCTCCCTGGTTCCTGGAGGGTTTGCTTGAGACAATGATTGCTCAGTGTCAATTGGCACCTCTCTCTTCCCTTGAACCCCAGGAGGCCTGGGAAGAGG